AATTTTCCTTCGGGGAGGACTTTTTGATGGAGCTAACCCGCATTTGCGTTACATGGAGAGGACGACCACGAGAACCTCCCACTGTTAGCCTAACGGCAAGGGGACTCTAACCCATGATCTGTCGAAAACTGAGGATATTTCACGTCAGCACTGTGGTCGGTGCAAGTCGGATGCGGAATTCGTATCGACTGGGATTCGAACGCATCACCGGTTCGCAGCATTGGAAGACGAACGCTCTATCCCATGAGCCATCACGGCTCATGTATTTTCATTTGTGCTTTATTCACGTTATTTTCTGCTTTAGTATACTCAGCACAGAGTATACCCTTTCCTTCGTTAGATCATTACAAGCTGTTGCGCAATTCCAGCACCTGCGTGAAACTGATCAATAGTTGCATTTATTTCAAGAAATTAGATATCAGGAAATTTTGGAGAAGAAATAGAGGGACTATTTGAACTAAATATCATTTAATGTTAACAGAAAAGGGGGGAAATAAAAAGGTAATATCGCATTTATTATTATTAAGGTTGATTACCGAATGAAAGGACACAAATTCGTTCGATTATTGAGTTCGCGTCTCGTCGGTGAGCTTTTTATTTTCGACATAAGCTGGAAGTTCGTGTTTAAGAAAACTACACAGCTCAATTTGGGTGATGAAGAAAATGGACATTGCTAAAAATGCGTGTTTTAAGGAAATGGAAACAGGCTTAAGCTGATTAGCTTCTTCGGAAAATTAAAAAAATGGGGTAGTAATATTTCTAAAGACATTTTTGAAAATTCACCGCTTTACCTTTCCAACTTAATATTCTGAGAAAAGAAATTCCTCGCAGAGATTCTCTTATAGAAATAATTTTTATTTAAATAATTGGGAAGGTAAAGAGGTGAGTTTTTGAAGGTTCTTTTAAAAATTTTGCAAGCAATTTTTTTGTTTTCTGAGGACGCTGGTCAGATTTACACTGTTCAAAATGAGAGTTTAGGAAAGTAGATCTAGCTTGAAATTTACGTTTAGGGAAAAAAGTTATATCTATTTCAAGAAATGTATATTTCATTTGCTTCCGTTTTTCAAACTACTGCAATGTCAAGTGCATTTTTAAAAAAATTAACTAAAAGCATCGATCACTCCGTACTATACGAAATCAGAAACATAGGCTCTGTCATGAGAGGAATCGAATGTTAATGTTACTTTTTGTGGTATCTCACCATATCTATAGATTTATTTCAGCAGGGAAAAATTTTTTTTTTTGCACTGAATTATAAAATTCTTCTTGAAAAGTGTTTTAAAAATGTTATTTTTTTCCGAATTTTTTTTAAAAATAATGATTGAAAAAAAATTGAATTTTAAAGAATGCAAATTTTTACATCATTGAAACTAGATTAAAATTTTCTTCAAAATTGGTAAAATATTTTCCTAGTAATACAATTATAAAAATTGTATCTTTAAGCTTTCATTTCTTAGAAATTATTCTTCCGATTCAGTTCAAATTTAAAATTTTGCTGCTTGAAATTTAATTATTGAAAATGATGTAAAAATTTCTCTACTTTTCAATCCGAGATCTTGACGCGTCTTGTTAAAAAATATATATTATCTTTGAATAAACGTGTAATAGGTTTGTGAGAATTTTTTTTTATTCGTTTAAATAGTTTATTGATACATTGAAATATGCAAAACGGATAATTAACATCAAGATGGTCAAACTTTTGATTGCTCGTTTTGAAAAAATTGAGGTTCTAGAATTGAAAATCGCCAGGAAAAAATAGGTTTATACTGAGTAAATATTTTTTTGCGTCTAATTTCGTAACTTAAAAGATCGTCTGTACAAATTAATTAACATATTTAAAGTTAACCTCTCCAATCATTCAGATTTCACGCTAACAAAAGTAAATCATTCCCGCAACAATCCATTTTATGCTAGGGGTCAGGGAGACTAAAGCTCTACAATTTCGTTATTAACGGCTTGATGGTGGTACAGTGGTTAGGATTGCACACTAACCAACTTTACTTCCTAGACAAGCTGTTACCCATTGATCTGAAGCTGGATGAGTTTCATGCCGCTACCGGGGTTCGAACCGTAATTCTGAGATTGAGTATGCAAAAATTCAATCATTATGTCAAGATATTTAGGTATTCCATATTTACTGAGCGCCCAGCACAATTAGTGTTTAACAGATGTTATTTCATATTTGTAATTTATTCTTAAAAGCTTTCCTGTGTCTATTTTATGAAGAATGCATTTCAAGCTGTGTCCATTTTCTTAATCACGCATTTCGAGTTGTGTCCATTTCTTTCAATATACATATATGCTATGTCCATTTCTTTTACTATGTCCATTTTCTTTGACACGTATACTGAGCTGTGTCCATTTTCTTTGACACGCATATTGAGCTACGTTCAAAACAAAAAGCTCACCGACAATCTTCATATACCTTTTTATGTCGTAGCTATCAACTTGCACGGTTTTCGATGAAAATATTTGTTAGTGGTAGCAACTTTTATATTTAAATTCATAAAATTTCATTTTTATTCATCTACAATAATGAATAAATTTTTCAAACATATGTAAACGATCTACAAAAATGAGATGGATTAGATTAGACGAGCACTTATGCTTTGGAGCATTATCTTAGTTTTACGAAAATTTTTCTTACTTTTAACATTATTTCACTACCGCATTCTACTATATATCCTAACGATCGAGGAAATTTTTGGCCATGTTGTGTTTTATCTAACTTACTCAATGATGCCTTTCAATGTATTTAAATAAGGCAAATTGATAACTTTTATCCTGATCTCAAATCCTGGTTGATCCTTTTACACAAAAATATTCTTAAGTTAATCAAAACAAAGTTTTCCTTATTTTAAAATTAAGAGTAAATTTTTAACCTAACTTCTATATTAACTCTCTGTAAACAATCTTTCTTTTAGCCGCAAGCTTTGGAAAATTTTATACGACAAAATTGTTTGCACAATTTTATTGCTTTTTACAAAAGTTATGGTTTATAATGCTTTTTCTTTTTCTTAGTAATATTTTTATGAGTAATTAAGTATGAATATCCATGCAAGTAGTTAACAAGCATTCGGATTTTATTTGAATATTTGCCTTTAATATTTAATCTGAAAGTGAAATATCGATATAAATTCATATTATTTTTATTTACTTATCTAATATAAAAAAAAGAACATTTTAGCTACCAGAATTATTCATACATTGTGGTAGGCAAAATTTTTATAAATCTCATCTGTTGATGAATATTCACCATTAATTCATCTTTAAACTAGTGGACTGCGCCCCCTACTCGCTAACGCTCGCCAACCCCCGAAAATTGCTACGCAATCTTATATGGTTTGCTTCGCGTACCAAGATCGCTTCGCTCGCTACTAACTTAGGTACATTTCAAATGCACACAATTCTAAGAATTCAAAACAATCATTCAAATCCATATAAAAAAATTACATCTTTTTAGTAAATACTAAGTCATTAAAATAAATTTGAATTCAAATAAATGACATGTAATTCGTTAAACCTATTAGAAATGTGCTATAGTATAATTCGTGATATAAATCAAAAATCGTCAAATAAATTCGTAATATATAAATTCGTGAAAAAAAGCGCTTTCGACAAAATACTAAAATAGAGATCTATCGACAAAGACTACTCACTTCTGCCTAGCTTAATAGTATGAGATTGCCGCAGCTGATGCTCTCTGGTTATTTCAGTTTCCGTTTTTAAAAGCGCTATATGTTGAGTCACCTCAGATAGATTTGGCATGTGACATTTTTAGCGGCAATCATGGGTCGATTCGCCGTGTAACAGAAATAGTAGCGTAAGCAAAACAAAGCAAACGTTGCCACCGGCGGAAAAGAAATACAGCCAAAATTTGGGAGCCACGTAAGAGAATTATATATATTAGATATTTAGATCTATTGGTAAACAGAAGTGATTTTTCTAAGTAATCATTTTTTTAAATAACATTTATGTTGTTATAACGTTATATTGTTGAAACAAATTTGATGAGTTCACATCCTTAATTTAATATTTTCACTTACCAAACGGTAGGATATATTAAAAACTTTTTTTTTTGCCTGCATCTCATTGTGCATGAAGCTGATCGTTAAGTTCTAAATCATTTAACAGATCTCTTTAACTGTAATTTATAACAGTATATTAATGTTATTTGCTCAAAAATAATAATTGTTAGACCACCTTTCTAAATAACTTTATCTTAAAATTTAAGGCAGATTTACATTATAATACTAATAAGAAAACAGCAATTCTCTTAGTTTTAAACTCTTGAATTAAAAGCGTAATAATAGCAGTACAGGAAAATAAGTTAGGGATTCAAAAATATTTATAGAAAAGCATGACGTTTATTAATTTTATGCTGATTACAACCAAAACAATAAGGAGACGAATGAGGAAAAACTGGATCACACCACATGATTTTCTGGCCAGTAAAAATGCACTGACAACAATGGAAAACTGCGACACCATCATTAGAATTTTATATATAGTAAGAAACGTTGAAATATATATTTGGTAATTATGATTGTTTGATAAATATGAAATTTCAATTTCATTGCAGCTTTTAGGTATTTTATAACTTTTCATCAAAAATCGTTTTCAAAAAAAAAAAAAAAAATTCATAGCAATCATTCACCGAAAACGCGAAAAAATAATCGTTTGTCACTCAAGAGAATCCCGCATTCTAGATAACCTCTTGGTAATAAAAGGAAGAAATTGTTTACGTCTCGCAGTTACTACAGAACGAGAGTCGGAAATAAAAATGAGTGGTACCCATTTGCTCCCGAATGGCGAAAAATGTTGTAAACAAACTCTGGTCCCATCACTCAAAGGCAGGCATTGCAGTTTGTTTACCTCAAAGCGCTATTTACTGTGGTTACGCAACGGATAAAAAAAAATCCAACAATAATTCCTTCCTCCTCATTTTTTTTTGAATTCAAAAACTTGGCGACAATCGCCAAATAGATTATCACTACGTTGGCAACCCTAAGTCCCCGGATTCTCGCCTCATGGCGACCCCCTCTCTAGAAAGTGACGCATGCTCGGTTACGCTGTGTGACGGCTTGCTAAGCAATCGCTAAGTCAAGAAGAAAAGAAAAAAGAATATTAAAAAAAAGAAGAAAACGCTAAGAGAGGGGAGGGTGGAAAATTCAACCGTTGGTTGTGAGCGATAAGTTTTGTTTACGTCGTGTGCACTCTACGAGTCGTATGACGTGCAGAGTGGTGTCGTTTGCGCCGGCGCATTACGATCAACGTGGAAAATTATTTTGAATTGTAATTTATTTCGAAAAAAAAAAAAATTAGAGCGGTTTTTTAAGAATCACGTACAGACTAAGGGCGAATGCAACGAAAGAATGCCTGAAAGTATGTAATTATTATGCTAAATATTTTTAAAATTTGCCATTGGACTGACGCAACGGAATTAAAAGTACCATTTTATTTTGCAAGACGTAAGCATTGAAATGCAAACATTTGTTCTGTGTTTTTGCATCGTAACGATCATTCATCTACAATTTTGCACCATGGATTTTAACTTGCATTGCATCTGATTGGAAATTTTTAAAAACATTTCATTTTCGTCATCTTACTAAGTGAAGACATTTCGTGGAATTTATATTTTTTTTACTTAACTGATGATGATTGCGGAACGTATAGAGGGGACATTTTTTATATCGTTTGCAGAAGATTTATGATACTTTTGTATTTTATTCTAAAGAAAAAAGATTGATAAATGGTTGCAGCACCTTTTATCTGTAGAATATAACTTATTTTTTATTTTATTTCAAATTGCAATTTAAAAAAAATTGAAGATTGTGTTCATAAAACTGTTTTTAAGCTGTGTATCAGGTATAATTGTTTTCCGAATAATAGTATCATTTGTTCGAAGATACTGATAATATTTATTTATGATAGTAATTTATAAGAAATAAATCTGGAATCGTTTAAGAATAAAAGGTTAAGAAAGAAACGGTCATGTGTTTTCGTGAAATTAAGTGGTAATTTCTGGACGATGAGTGGTAAGAGACGAACTGCGTGCCCTAAGACTGGTGACGAAAAGGAAGCGGGAGATACAAATTCTCCGGATACTTCATTGCCACCTCCTCTCAGTTCCATTCCTCAGTCACCAACTTGCCGAAAAATATTCTTTGACGAAAATTTCAAAGTCACACCTTTTCCCGAGGCATCAGAAGAAGTAATAGAACAACAGAAACAGAAATGGAACTTTGATTTTCAAACAGAAACACCCTTGCCGGGGCGTTACCTCTGGTTGAGAACTGAAGGAAGCAGTGGTTATTACAAAAATGGAAAGGGAGCGCCCTTAGATAATCCTCCCCGGCGAGGTGAAGGCCAAAGGAGAGCTTCTAAACGATCACGTGAGTAAACTATTTTTTTTATACCATTTTTATTCAGTGATCAAGCAGGGTTCGTACAATCTTTAAAAAAAAAGTAAAAAGTGGTGTCAATATTGCAGCTTTTTCTTAAAAATTTATTTTTTTGGTGACCCTATACATCACAACCTTTTAAAATTTATCAAAACCATAGGACTTTATTCTGCTTTAAAAAATAAAACCCTAGTTTAACCTAGTGACCAAATTTTGACCTAGTGCCTGGCGCAATATAGCCGCTTTTGGCTCTTGCGCCAATAAAATCCAACCAACCAATCTTAAAAATTAAAAACATAAATCAGTAATTTTGCAATTAGATAAGTTTCTTTAGAAATACTAAGCGTATTGGTGCATATAAATTTATAAGTATAGATTTTATTTTCTTACTTTAGCTACCACCTTTAAGGTTTTTTTAAATACCGTACGAACCCTGTCAATGCATTTTATTATAATTAACCTATTATGTCGTTGGAAAAAAAATTTATGTATGAAAACATCCAAAACAGGTGCACTATTATTTCAATTTTAGCTTTTTATCAGTCAAGACATATCAGTAATATTAAGTTCCAAATATCGGTCTAAATTCGAGAAATTGTATATAATAAGTTAACCAGAGTCCTGGAAAAAAAGTTAAAACTAGTGTCATTAGCAATAAAAATGTGAAATGCAATCCTTAATCGTTTCTTTTTAAAATTGTATTTTGCACCTCAGAAAATACATAGAAAAAGAACGGCCTTAATCGTTTAACCAGGGTCCTGGAAAATAGATAAAAATGATGGAATCAGCAATAAAAAATTTTGACGCAATCGTAAATTGAACGAAAATACATTGTTTTTGAAATGTGAGCAAAGGTTTCCATGTTTTGAAATACCGGAGATTAAAAAAATTGGTGACTATTAATAGCATAAATTTATTAAAAGAAATTAAAATTAGCAACTATTTCTAGCATATTTTTTTTTGTTTACTGTGTTTTTTTAATTAATAGTGCATGCATAGAATTTTTCACTTTAAATATGAATCATTTATAATGTTAAATTATGGCTGTAGTTTTGACTGAATTATTAATTATATGAAATAAATTAGTATTCTCTACTACTTCTTATATTTATAGTCGCCCTTGGAATTCCTTAAATTAGAAAAAAAATGGAAAATGCACAAGCAACTTTGTCATAAATATTTATTCTTTAATGTGGATTTTCAAATTCTTAGATAAAAAAATAAAAATAATGCAAATCCTAGAATTTCTTGAATTAGAAAGAAATGGAAATTGCACTAACAACTTTATTATATTATATGAAATTAATGCTTTGAAAAAAAGTTGTAGAATTAGTTGACAATTATTTTTTTTTTTATTTCCTGAAACCCTCAATTTTCTCATGAAATACCAGAGATGCCAACTGCTCCGGACATGCCAAAATAATTTTAAAAAAACGGTAAATAACTACAAATTAAATTTTGCAAATATTTGACTAATTTTGCTTGCTTTTTTAAGAGGTATAGCATAACATAAGCATTAAAAAGTGGTGAATGATATAAGCCTACGAATTATTTAGAAATAGTGGTGGATTAAAATCCACTAAATTGAATTTATTAAACCAAGAATCACAATTGATAAACTACCACTTTAAAATATATATTTGCTGTCCGGAGAAAGTTTTGCCTCTCTGAAATACTCATTAAAGATAGATTTCTCCTTAATCAGTATGCTTTCAATTTACTATGATTATGGCATATACATGCATTCTTTTAGTTGTTCTTTGCAATAATTTTAAAATGTTACCCATTTGATTCAAGCATCATTTTAAAAGAGCGATTCCTTTATTTTTAAAGTAATAGCACTAGAGCTTCAGTGTTAGCATTTATTTTGCATCATTTTATATTGTCTCTACGAAATAGTTTTTTACATTATTATAAAATTTATGGCCGGACATGAATTGGTTAAAAAAGGCTAGATCTTGCAAAATAGTAACGACTGAGCTAATAGTGTGTAATAATATATAACAAGGTGTTAATGTTATACTACCAACTTTTTAAATGTTCATTTCAAGCTCATGCTATTAATTATCAGTGAAAAAAACGAACATTCATCAATTTGGTACAGTCAAGTTTTTCATGTGATTCATTTCTATTCTCCTGACAAAAGTCTTTGTAAATAAGTTAAAATGTGCTTGATGCTAAATATTTTAGTTCATTAAAAATTGTGCATTGTAAATAAATTGTAAATTTTGCATATACTTATATATTATATATTTTTGTATGACGTATAAAGAGCTGCCAATTTATCCGTTTTAAAGGAATTTTTTTTCTAATGGTATATTTTAGTATTTATTTTTTAGTTATAAATGCGATTTTGAAAGACTTCTATTGCTAATACTAAGAAAATCGTAACATATTTATGAAGATTTGATAGTCATGTGGTGTTGCATCAAGTGCTATCTAAATTAGAAAGAATAATGTTAATTTTCATTTCTCTTTTTGTAGCATCAAGTGCTATCTAAATTTGAAAAGAATAATGTTAATTTTTATTTCTCTTTTTGTTTCCTCAAGTGCTATCTAAATTAGAAAGAACATTGTTATTTTTTATTGCTCTTTTGGAACAACTTTAAATATAAAATAAAAATGTTAGGATTAATTAGGAATGAAATTTATGCCATATTACTTAGTGTATAGTTATTTTATTGTGCTCTTTTTCATAATGTCAGATCAACATTAACAAATGCCCCTTTCCACTACCTTAAATTTAGATAAAAGAGCAGACAATCCTCACCATTAAGTATTCCGAATTCGAAATAGCGTATGGATTTTATAGCATAATGTGTACTTAAAAATGTTAATTTACGATAAAAATAAAATGTACACATAACATCAAATGAAATCTTAACACGTTGTCATATCAAAATTAGAAAATTTTTATAAATTCATGAATCATGCAAATGAATAATAAACTAAAAACTAACTTTAGATCTTAATTTGCTTTTTAACTGTTTAACTACCATACTCTTTATTTTGCAGTGGGAAAAGGGTCTTAATGATGGAAGAAGTAGCGGACTTGCATATAATTTAAATCGAAATTTTCCACATTTAGCTACCAATTTGTTTAACAAAAAATAACTGCTTGCTTTCAGAACGATTTATATGTAAGATATATAATTTTATATTATTAACACTTTGAATGCCACGCTAATTTTACATGGTGCTTGCCCGTCTGGCCAGATGGTAAATAACTACAAACTATATTTGCAAATTTGACAGATTTTGCAAGTTTTTAAGAATGTTTTGCATGACATATCTGAAGAAAGTGATGAATTATATGAGCCTACAAATTGTTTCGAAATAGTGGTGGATAAAAATCTACTAAATTGAATTTATTTAACCAAGAATCACAATTAATAAACTACCTCCTGAAAATATTTATTCGCTGTCCGAAGCAAGTTGGCATCTCTGTGTATATAAATAAAACTATTTTTGTGTGTTCTATATTGCATTAATTTCTTCAAACCATTTCATTAGCGGTAATATAAAAATATTAAAAACAAGAGTTTCTAGTAATCTTGGCTTCGCCAGTCACCGGTGACCCCCGTGGTGCTACGGACAAACTCAGTGCTGGTCACCGGTGCCCCATGACATTCAACGTGTTAATATGATCTGGTTGATGGAAATATTTAACTTCTCCAATTTTAAGTGCTAAGAATGATAGTTATGAGCTACCAGTCTTTAGCATTTTGAAAAACACACATGTTCCAAATATGGTACATCGGCTTTTAAATCTCGTCTATATGTCATTTGCATTTAATGGCATTATTGTAGATACTACTGTAAGAGTTTTTCACGAACTGATAGAGCGCAATTTTTTTTATTAATTTTGCCATCTAATAAAGAATTAAAGAAGAAATTCTTTAACACCCGCACTTTTGTATTAGAAGAGAAAGAAACCAAAATTGCATGCTTTACTTTACACTGGTGTGTTTAGAATTATTTATTAATGAAAAGAAAACAAATCATTACAAGTATCGTATACTTCCTAATTAACCGATGGAAAAATGCTCGGCTTGATTGCAGAGTTCTTGAACAAACTATTACTCGCATCATCGACCTCATACGGCAGTAATTGATAGCACTCGCGCGGAACGAGGCGTTTTCAAGATCAATATCAGTGCTCTTCTGCGGTCATTATTAATTTCGTAACGAAGTTTTAATGTAACGAATTCCCTGCTATTCGAAAAACCCTGTAAATCGAATTTGCTACATCAAGAAACTTATATTAAAAAAATATCACTCGAATATATCTTCGTATAAAAAAATGATTTTTACAAATATTTAATATTGATACTAATCAAAAAAATTTATTTTAAAAATTAGAGTGGTAGACATAACTTTAAATTTATTTGGTAAAATTCCATACATAACTAGTTGTGAAATCATTGGTTTTTAACATTAGATGGAAAGAGAGCCGTAAACGACCTCAGACACATAAATGAATATATATGATAGTTTTGAGCATTTTAATAAAAAATAAAATCAACTTCTTACTGAAATGAGAGTTAGTTTTTATCACATATTGCATACGGGCAACTTTAATTAATGTAACATTAATTTATTATAATGAATCGTGGCGACGCGGCCACATTGTCGCAGAACGTTACTGAGATCTTGCAGAAGGATTTTTACTTTGGGAAATTAAAAATGTTGTTTTTCTTTTCTCCAGAAGTTTTCGAAAGATTTTATCTTTTCTTCTGAATTATATTCAAAAGATGTCTTTCTCGCGCTTCGGAGTGGGGGGGGGGGGGGNGAGTGGGGGGGGGGGGAAATGCTTGTGTCTTTTCTATTCTCATTGGAGAATAATGAAAAATAAAGAATAATGAAGTAAAAAATTCGGTTTTCTTTTCTTTTTGTTCCAATTTTCCATGCAGTTATTACTACTGATTTCTACATAGCTTTTAAAATCCGATATAATTTATCACAAGAACTAAATCTCGAACTGAAAACAC